ACTCAAGAAGCACTGGACAACGGGGCGGACAATATCACAAAATTTCAATACGGCTTTTCTTCAGGATACTAACAAACTCAACAAATTCAAGATAGACCTCGGCAACAAGTTCCAGGCCTTTCATGATCTACTCAATGGAGAAGGAACTACTGTGGAGAGCAACTGGAAGGGGATCAAAGAGGCAATCACTTCAATATGTCATGAGGTCCTGGGCCACAAGAAGCACCATCACAAGGAATGAATCACTGTTGATACACTGGATAAGATTCAAGAATGGAGGAACAAGAAGGCAGCAATCAATACCAGCCGAACAAGAGCAGAAAAAGCCAAGGCACAAGCTGAATACACAGAAGTAAACAAACAAGTGAAGAGGAGCATCAGAACCGACAAACGTAAATATGTGGAAGATTTAGTAGCGATGGCGGAAAAGGCTGCAAGAGAAGGAAACATGAGACAATTGTATGACACGGCAAAGAAACACTCTGGAAATCGCCGCAAACCAGAACGACCAGTTAAAAGCAAGGAAGGCGAGGTAATCACCAATATTGAAGAACAACGAAACAGGTGGGTAGAACACTTCAAAGAACTCTTGAATCGACCAGCTTCACTGAACACACCCAACATCGAAGCAGCACCCACGGACCTCCCAATCAATATTGGCCAACCAACAAATGAAGAAATCATCATGGCCGTCAAACAAATCAAGAGTGTCAAAGCAGCAGGACCAGACAACATCCCAGCAGAGGCACTAAAAGCAGACGTAGCGGCAACTGCAAGGATACTCCACATTCTCTTCAATAAGATTTGGGATGAGGAACAAGTACCAAAAGACTGGAAAGAAGGACTTCTGATCAAAATACCGAAGAAAGGCGATCTCATCAACTGTGATAATTACAGGGGCATCACTCTTCTCTCAATACCGGGAAAAGTCTTCAACAGGGTATTGTTAAACAGGGTGAAGGACTGCGTAGACGCCCAACTTCGTGACCAACAGGCAGGATTCCGTAAGGATAGATCGTGTACAGACCAAATCGCAACTCTACGGATCATTGTGGAACAATCAATTGAATGGAATTCATCACTCTACATCAACTTCACTGACTACGAAAAGGCATTTGATAGCGTGGACAGAACAACACTATGGAAACTTCTTCGACACTACGGCGTGCCTCAGAAGATAGTCAATATCATACAGAACTCATATGATGGATTACACTGCAAAATCGTGCATGGAGGACAGTTGACAAAGTCGTTCAAAGTGAAGACCGGTGTTAGGCAACGTTGCTTACTATCACCCTTTCTCTTTCTCCTGGTGATCGACTTGATTATGAAGACGTCAACGTCTGAAGGAAAGCGCGGGATACAATGGACATCTAAGATGCAGTTGGATGATCTAGACTTCGCAGACGATCTGGCCCTTCTATCCCAAACGCAACAACAGATGCAGAAGACAAACAGTGTAGCAGCAGCCTCAGCAGCAATAGGTTTCAATATACATAAAGGGAAAAGCAGGATTCTCCGATACAACACAGAATGCACCAATCCAATCACAATTGACGGAGAAGATTTGGAAGATGTAAAAACCTTTACGTATTTGGGCAGCATCATTGATGAACAGGGTGGATCTGATGCAGATGTGAAGGGGCGGATCGGCAAAGCAAGAGCAGCATATTTACAACTGAGGAACATCTGGAACTCAAAACAACTGTCAACCAACATCAAGGTCAGGATTTTCAATACAAATGTCAAGACAGTTCTACTGTATGGGGCAGAAACCTGGAGAACTACGAAAGCAATCATCCAGAAAATACAGGTGTTTATTAACAGTTGTCTACGCAAAATACTTCAGATCCGTTGGCCGGACACCATCAGCAACAACCTACTGTGGGAGGGAACAAACCAGATCCCAGCGGAGGAAGAAATCAGGAAGAAGCGCTGGAAGTGGATAGGACGCACATTGAGGAAAGCACCCAACTGCATCACAAGACAATCCCTCACATGGAATCCTCAAGGCCGAAGGAGGAGAGAAAGACCAAAGAACACATTACGCCGAGAAATGGAGATAGACATGAGAAAAATGAAGAAGAATTGGATGGAACTAGAAAAGAAGGCCCAGGACAGAGTGGGTTGGAGAGTGCTGGTCGGCGGCCTATGCTCCATTGGGAGTAACAGGCGTAAGTAAGTAAGCAAGGACTACCACCTTTTGTTCCCTTTAGGTCCTCCGTATGTCCCATACTATGAGAAGATCAAACAGACAGAACCTTCCCTTCTCAAAACCGTGTTAACGTCTTTGAGGACGTTGTTTTTATTCATCTGTTAAGATGGTGGTTGGAGGTAGTCAACAGGAAACCCTGTACCCGGGTTAACCATTGGCATCCTCATACTGTTTTAGTACTGCGCTTTTTTACGGACACAGTAGCTATTCGAGCATTACCAAGACTTTCAGCTGAAACTAAAGTTAAATACTATTTCGCACTCACAATTTCCTGGTTTAACTGGTTGATCGAATTGGCATAAAGCAGCTCTTCCATCGTAAATTTAATTAGATCTTCTTCTGGTCTTTTAAGAGCATAGATAATCTTGTTTATAAATTTTATTATTGTCATGAATCCTCAGAGATATTTATGGTTAAATTGTATTTTGGATGCTAGTTCGATCGGAAAATGTCTCCTATTGTTTCGAACTTCAGCGTTGGTACTATCAGAATCCATCGGGAAGGCTTTCCACCTGTCCCAGGCCTTCCCTTTGACCTGTATCAAGTATTCCATGCATTGCTGAACCTAGGATCTCTTTTCAGGCGTGCGCTTTTTCCGAAGTGCATAGTGTGGGATAGAATCCTGGATGGTAGGTATCCCTCACTATCTTTCAGTGGTCACCCACTGTTAACCTCCAGCAATATAGTGACCATGAAGCGTGTTGAGGATGCTCTCTCATCGTCATGTACTATGCTCTAATGTAGCTAAGTTATAAAATACTCTGATCCTTCCGGAGTAAATCGTTTGTCAACACGTACAACATGAATGTACAATGACCACTACATCCTCGGACATGGATATCCTCAACTAGAAGCTGATCATATGTCAGCAAAAAGACCAAGCTTAAAGGTTTCCCATCCTAATTTAGATCCTGACTCCAAAAAAGGCACAAGCAGTCACGAACAACGAAGGTACAATATGACGTATAATAACTTGATAAACTTGAGATTAGAAAACTGAAAATAAGGCGGTGTTTACAGTGAAATGGAAGTCAAAATTGAAAAACGAGCAGTCAATCTAAAGTCAGAGTCGTGCATCACATGGTTGCAGCTAATCCGAAAAGCCTATTCCTTCATGAAGCATCTCTTCGACACACTACAGACCGAGTTTCTCAGTTGTTAGGTCCTAATGGATGATCTAAACAACTACGACACTGATGGAGCAGAACTCCTGGCAAAACGGTATTTTTTAATACTTCAACCTCCACATACAATTCACATCGAGAAGGACTCCACCTGAAACTCAACAGGAAGTTCAGAAGCACACCTAAGTACTGGACTGGTATACCAGTCTGCAGCATATAGACAAGGACACTTCTCCTGGTCTGCTATACTGTGATTAGCGGCTGCAATTTTGGGAAAACCTATCGAAGCAGTGTTCTTACAGTCACCAAGCTACGACGCGTTCTCAGATAATTAGGGGGCAGCGCACATCGCTCTAAGTTCTAAAGGTGAATGATGCAGAGAGCTTTCGAATTTCCGGTCAGTAGCACTTCTTTCAATACTCTCATAGGCTATGATATCCCCCATACATGACGGTTAACTAGCCTACTGGAAATCGATGAACTTCGAGATAGTGGAGAAGATTTCAGCCCAACGACGCGGTTTTAAGAAGGGCTATTTCTGCTGTACTAACTGCAGTAGATAGATAGGTAACGACCATTGATTGTAAGAGAAAGGTAGATGTGATGTGCCCCGGCATCTGAAGAGCTTTTTATGGAGTAAATCATACGTGTCTTATCAATTAATTCAAGCTGAAAGGTATGGAGTCATCGTTGTTTGAATCATATTTAAATGATCGACGTTTGAAGGTCAAGGCATGCATCGCTATTTCTCATTTTACAGGATATCTATGGTTTAGTACTACGATTACTACTCTGCAAATTATATAAATGATCTAACAAAGAAAGCATCAACAGAGCTATTACTTTTCACCGAATCCCTTAAAGCTTGAATATAACTTTACGACCCACATCACAATCCTAGTCTCCTGTCACCATCGGTTTTGTCATAAGCTGACGATGTCAAGATATGGACACCTTCAAAATGACCTGGAAAAACTATCTGAATGGTTTGAAATTTGGTAGTTACCGATGATTGCCTCCAAGTGAATTATGATGCATATCGGTCACCAAGGTACAGACACATATACGGTGAATAACAGTAAGCTATTTGTTATCCAGACACACAACGAATTGGAGTCATCATTAGCCAAGACTTAAAAACTACTACACATTGCCATTCAATAGTCTCCAGAGCTTTTAGAAACTTGTGGCCAATACGAATGGCTTTGAGCCATGTAGATGCTAGAATCACCTTGACTTATATTAAATGTTCGTTCGCCCCAAACCCGAGTACTACATACAAGCGGCTAGCCCTTGCCTAAGAAGGGAGAGTGAGCTGCTAGAAAAGGTTCAGATAACCGCAACCAAGCTGATTCTCGGAATAGCAAACCTGTCATGTGATACTTGACTGACTAAACGAAACCTTGGTGATAAATATTTCCTCACTTTTCTTGTCTTCCAAAGCAGAGGACTTACGAGGACACTGGAAAAATTCGAAAGCCTGGTACAAATTACTTATCAGCTGACTATCAATTTTTCTATCGAATCATCAACGAATGGAATTAATTACTTGAATACGTGCTTGAAGTTCCATCTGTCGACGTTTTTAAACGAAAGTTGGATCAACCTAGAGCAAGGGCCATCTGTTCTCCTCTCCATTCAAAACTGAAACAGATGTTAGCGCGCAATTTCAAAGTACACGTTTCAGCGCACGTGTTCGTGCACACTAGCAATTGGTATGTTATCGTGGTAAATTCGTGTGGCTTGTATTTATTGAATAATCTTCCAGACAAAACTCTTATTCTCTCTCCTACGAAAGGTTTAGATTTTTGACCCGACATGAATCAACTTTATGGTTAGAGTTAGGTCAAGTCGAGAGAGGTCCCCAATCAACCAATAAACGGGAAATAAAGGCGAACAAAGGGGAAACACGCCAAAATGTCTAGTTTTTTGCCTGTCTGGAGGAAATAGTGCGTATTCTTCCCCTTTATATCGCTCTGTGCTTCGAACTACGCTGAACTGTCCACTTTCGCATAAATACACGCCGAAAATATAAATACAGGGAGCGGCATATTCAAACACGGTACGTTACGTATGTTTGTCTACAAAATTCCCTTAGATACACGTTGTAATGAATAAAAAACGATATTTCCCTTAAGTAACCGACGTTAAAGTAAAAAGTCGACATTTCCCCTTTATTTACACTTTCGTCCGCTTTATTTCCCATTTATTGGTTGCTTAGGTCTAAGAGTCTTGATACTCTATAATCAAAAGTCTTACGCCAAATTTGGCACATATTCCATTCCAGAAAACCCTGCACTAGTAACGTTGAAGTGCATTTTTTTCAGTTTTACAGTAAAACTTTTCATTTAGTGTTTAACAACTTTATCCGCCCTCATTGGGAGTATGGAAATATAGCGTTTCCTCCCGCATACCAAAAGGATAAGAGTGTATTGGAATGTATCTGAAAGCGAGCCATAAATTCAGCTCGATCTTATAAAAAATGCCTTAAATCACTGGACCACTAGGTGAGACTATAATTTATGGACAATCTTTGAGCTAAGGTAGACTGACCTTAAGGGTGTCCACCTAATATCTATGACCAAATAAGGGTTCCAAAGTTGTGTGGTGAATTGTAATTATGTTTTACAATTGACGATTAACGTTAGAAATTAGATTTCAGGTTTTCATCACGAACGTACCTCAGCTATAATGTCAAAACTCCGTTTAACCAAATTGAATAATTGGATTTCGCGCCAATATCCGAGGCCCATTATTTTATACCTTATTGGTTCGTCCATAAATTATAGTCTTGCCAGATCACTACTCATTAGATTCCAGGCGTTTCAGAGGTGACCTAATGGCTTATAGCATCCTAAACACTCCTGTTCACCCCCTTAAATACTTTAGCTCAGTCTAACACAAATCCTACGGGTAACACCCAGAAATTAGAGACATTATATAGCAGAATCGACTGTAGGCACACCTTTTACTGTATACAAGTAGTCGAATTCTGGAATTCGCTGCCGGCTGAGGTGGACCAAGCAACTTTCCAGAAATTCTTCATGAGGAAACCTACTATATTCTTGAGGACGCAGAACAGTATTCTACTATAATTTACTGATTTTACTTTTTGTTTCGTTAAATATACCTGGGTTTCTTTGAGGTATCACTGACCCACTGCTGGTATATGCGGTAGCTCGTTATGCTCATCGCTTGCTTTGTGTGCGTCCATTGAAGTTATTTAAGTTGCTGTCTGTTTACTGAATATCTTCAAGCCTTGGTTGTTATGTGATCTGTATCCTATTTATCACAGGTTACTATCTTTTGGGTTTATTGTTTCCCATTTTTAAGTATTTCTGTACTTCTAATTGTATCATTGTTTATATTCATGTTGCTTTGCTTCTTGACGCTCTAATACTTTTATTTTAGACGTCATAACAAAATTTAATTTGCGATAAATTATTATTTGTGTTTTATCGTTATGTCACTTTTCAAAGTAGTTCTATTGTTCTCTAATACTCTATAAGTTAGGTACTGTGTCCCTGTCTTGCTACTTCATCTTCTGTTTGACAGGAATGTGTTTTTTACGGTAGTATAACATTATTGATAAATGAAATGTTATCTATTAAGTCAATGATAGAATATAAGTTTCACTTATTTGTCAAGGAATTTCAAACTGAAACACCAGGCTTATTTCTTGCCAGTCACATTAATTTCTCAATATGCTGTCTTATGATGGATTTGTATTTGTTTTATCTACTAATGACAATATTTTTCACTACTTTAGCTTTTTGAGAAATAATTGTGTGACGTAAACCTATGTTTTGCGCTGAAATTAATGCCCTCTAAATTGTGTCACTTATTTACAAACTTTTATCCTACTGTCATGAATAATAAAATAATTAGTGTGAAAGATGGTAAGTTGTGGTGATATGTCCTTTTTAATGCTTTGTGAATGTTGCTTCATAATTGAACGGGAGCTGTCTATGGCTTCATAGTTGTCGTAGTAGTTGTATTGGTCAAGAAATCAAACTCGTGGTGGTCTGGGGTGGCATTAGAAATGCAGTGCATCGGTGATTACTACTTTCTGGTTGGTTACACTGAGGGGATACTTATTTAGTTACCTAATAAGGTGACTATACTGATAGTGGTCTTGTCATTGTAGGCGCTTGGCCACAAAGCTCAAGCGATAAGTACTCAGGGGCTGTGAGTAATTCATGTGTTAACTTCGTTTGTTCAACATCTTACTATTAGCATCGGTTAGACATGCTATTTCTTCGAGTTAACACTTTCTGACCTTCTGTGAGCGGGTACCATATACGGAAATGATATTTGTCTGAGAGAATAACATCTTACTGACACTACAACCCGGAACAGTCACCAGGACACTTCACTCCCGAACTTTAAGTTACCACTCCTCAACCGACTGACATGTAGGGTTTAAATGAATAAGTGTTCTAGCCAATACAGTTTAATTGGGAAATCACGATAAGTAAACCTAATCGCTACGATAAGGTAGCTGCTACAATCGGGTACTTCATTTCTTGAACTTAGCTCCACCTACTTAAGCGTAGAATGTGTTTTAGTGTTTTGATATATGGACTGTTTATGTGAGTTGTTATTTACAGCGTATGTTGTACATGAAAAAGTAGAGGAAAAAATTGTCGAGGTGGAGAAAATAATACTATGTGTAACTTAATTTTGGCGATTGAAGTGAGCTTAGTTAATCATACGCTACATCGAACCTGGGACATGTATATATCTATTCACTTTGCTATAGCATATATTACAGCAGAATGCTAGAGTAGTAGAAGGATTGTAAGAGTATCAGTGGTAATACAAAACGATATTAGATACAGGTAATATGAGTCGGAAAGGAAATTGCATTCATGAAGTAAAAAGCTTAAGGTGATTTTGAAATTCAGGACCTAAGAGAGAACAAAGAGTAGATGCGAATGCTCCATTGTGATCAACTCTGAGCCATGTCATCCATCGTCTTCAATCGTTGGTTATAATGCTCACGCGGATCGCGACCAGACGGTCTACGCCCACCAACATGGCGCAATTCACTTGTCAATGACCTTATCAACTGATACCATGTCTTCGGATTGGTCATCCCCAGCTTTCTTTCAACCTATTTCTACGCCACCAAATATCGCTCGTTGAGATATTTTGTTTTATTATTTTAACACATAGATATTGGTACAAGGAGGCATCAAATACATACACGCCACACATATCTCATTTCATTTGTGTGAGGGCTGTGATACTGGCCGGGTGCCCAACCCGAATCAGGTGGTTTTCCTATGGAGCCACACCCCAAGCCTTCGACCTGAAGGTCTAATCCACATGGAAATGGAGCATCGTAAGGAGATGCAGTCCCATGTTAGCCAGTGACCAACGATTGGTTCATACACCATTTGTTCCTTCAGGATACTGCAGCCAGCCCATGTGCACCATTGGCTTGGAATTAGGGTTTTCCAACTCCCCTAGGTGGACTCTCCATGTCCACCAAGCCGGTTAAAGAACCGGACATTCGCTTTTCTCCCTTTCAGTTTCGTAAACAACACCTTCGCCACGAGAAGGCAGTAAGTAAAAGTTCCGTCGTAGTGGTTGTATGCATGTAGCCATGTGAGAGCGTTTCGAGAGAGTGAGAGCTTACTCTCCCCACTCTCGGCCGTATCAGGTCATTTGAGGGATTGTAGGTAGAGAGCGGAATGGATTCTCGCCACTAAATATTGAAAACTAAAGTCTCCAATGTAATGCAGAAAGATTGACAAGATTAGTATACTTTTGGAAATAACGTATCTGGTTTAAACTTCTCGACCGTGACAACTTCAGTAAGTTCAAGTAGATCTCTAAAAGTTACAGAAAGATGTCACATGGTACTCTGAATTGTTAGTCATTCACAATCCTACTCAAGACATTTGGGTGTTGTTAGTCTACTACTTTTCAACCATAGTGTTGGAGACTCAGTGGTTAACATATCACTAGACTTCCGTCAATTTGTTATATTGTACGACCCTTGGAGCTTTTAGTTCATTATAGGATTCAGTTTAAACTTCCCTCCGACAGCCAAATATTATCACTGATCGTAGAGAGTTCCAAATACATTAACTTATATTTGTTACACTGTTTTTCAACTCTTATCCACATGACATCATAGTCTAAACGTATCGTCCTAATTATATTTAAATAAAAGTTGAAATATATTCAATTAGTGTTTCATTTAATACGCTAATGGACTATAATGTTTCGCTTAATTTTTTGTAATTTTATTAGCAAGTTCAAATCTTAATGCAATCGTTCAGTTAATCAGTCAAAATGATGGTGTAATAGCACTTCCAACAGACACTATCTATGGATTAGCTTGTTCCGTTTTTAATCCTGAAGCAATTGAACGAATACGTCGTATTAAAGGTCGTTCAGAGACTAAACCTATGGCTATATGTTTAGATCAGGTAGGTTGAATACATTCTGTTCTTTGTGTATGTTTATGTGTTATCAGTAGCAGCTTAGACCAATGTTCAATGATTTCATTTACTTAATGATGTGTTATTTAGCTTCCCATAACGTTCTTTTAATTTTATTCTATGCAAGTAAGCACAGCAATCGATTTACTCAACACTTAACAGTAGTTGAATAACAGTAACAGTAGTCGCTCTTCAATTTCGCTATATGTAAGTAATGTTTCAAAGATATTTATAATCATATACTCTCCGTCTACTTATGACTTCTTCTTGCATAGACTGTCTTATAGGGTATTAAATAGCAAGCATTTCACTTGTGTCCCAAATTACACGTTTTGTCAAAAACTGAGTACCATTTTCGGTATCGTAATGCATTTATCCGGTGTTCATCTTGTTGTGCTAATGAGGTATGGCAACTTGAACCGATACACATATGTGCCTGGTCCTGCGTTGTAGCTGACTGGTTGACTATCACTAATCTCCTCAAGTTAAGGACTCGTAAACTATTGAATCACCGTTCTGTACGGTTCTATCGTTGACCGTTTCACGAACATCATATTTTCGTAATTCAAATCTAGTTAGTATAATCTTTTGCAAAGTTAATAAAATACCACTTTACTCAATTTTTTATTGAACAACAGATATCCAAAAACGTTTTACGGTGAACTACTAATGATATCGTGGGGAGAGGATTCAGTCGCTATGACAACAATCAAGCGTCAAGTTCTAATACTTTGCTCTAGGCAACTGAATAAAATGTAGTTGTCCCATACCCTTAAAGTCTGACTTGAATCCAAGTATGCGAATTTGTATGTTGGAAACAAACTATCAGATCTTGAATTCATCACATGGCTTATTGAAATATGTGTCACATGCGTCCACTTCCGCATTCACTGTTTCGATTATTCTTATTGTAATGAACAAAGACTTGGTTAGGGTGAACCGATACATTACATTATGCGAAATCACATACTGCATTTGTAAAGTATAGAAACAGTACATTGGATACACCATTTGAACGTCTTCCTTGAATTGTCTCTTAAATACATCATCGTTCTTTCATTTCTGTTGCTACTCAGACTGCTTCTGCTTTTCTTTCTCTTCTTATGTTCCTCTTCTGTCAGTAAGAATCCTACTTCAATATTCCGATGCATACTATTTATATCTGTCTGTATAAGTAGCATACACCACATTATCCTCTCTTTAACACGAATATAAAGGGATTGAGACAAATGACTGTTAAGCTCATTTCTTACATGACCTAATCGATCAGATTCTCAGAGAGCATATCAAATATTCTTTCCATAATCTAAACTCTATCTCAACTGATCATATGAGGGTTCATGTGTGATGATCATGTGCTAACTAATATTTCATCCATTGAACTGTTATTTTTCACAAATGACATTTAAAATATTTTCTTCTTTTTCATATACATCTAAGTAAACACCCATTCTAGTTCTCCTGCTTCTTGAACTAATAAAACTAAGGACATATAATGCAGATAGTCGATCTTATTTTTTGTAATCAATTTAAATATGAATGTAAACCAACTAAGTAGAATTATTTATTTATTTGAACACATAAATATTGGTACAAGGAGGGCACCAGATCTATATGCGCCCCCTAATGCCCTTGTACTGCCGAGAGGGAGGAGAGTCCTCTCTCCCTCTCGAAATTCTCTCACACAGTCTCTGCCTGGGAAGTCCTACTCATTGCCTTCTTGTGGTGGGGGTGCTGTTAACGAAACTGAGGCGAAGAAAAATGAATGTCCGGTTCTTTGACCGGCTTGGTGGACATGGAGAGTCCACCTAGGGGAATTGGAAAACCTTGATTGCAAACCAATGGTTCATATGGACTGGTTCCAATATCCTGAAGGAACAAATGGCATATGAACCAATTGTTGATCACTGGCTACTATGGGACTGCATCTCCTTACGATGTTCCACTGCCTTGTGGATCAGACTTTCAGGTCGAAGGCTCTGCGTGTGACCCCCTAAGAAAAAGATATGCCTCGATTTGGGCACCCGGGCAGTATCACAGCCCACACACAAATAAAATGAAATGATGATATTTACTGAAAATACTAAGTAGAATTAGTTTTCAATGTTTTGTTATTCATGTAACGTTGATATATGTGTATACATATTTACGCCTTGATTCGCTATTAAATAGTATTGACTATATGTACTGAATCCTTAGTGCTGATTAGATTTTTCTGATCAAGTTGCAATGTGGCCACTAGTCTAATTTGACAGGACATTTATACATAGTTAAAATAGTTCATTCATGTTGATTCACAGTGTATAGTTTCCTTTACTTCCTACCTCTGCATGTTTTAGGTATCGCATATCTCCCACTGGTGTGATACAAAAAATATTCCAACTGGTCTGCTATCAGATCTTCTCCCTGGTCCTGTCACTGTTCTATTACCACGTTTTTCTGATAGACTTCAGGATCCATTGAGCAATCATTTGCTAAACTCAAGCGACAAGCGTGTTGGTATTCGAATACCAGATTCTGGTTTTATACGTAAACTTATATCAGCATTGAATGAACAAACTAGATTCTCATCAATTATTGGCAATAATGTTGAACATTCTAGTGGTTATGATAAGCACGATAGTATCAGTATTGGTGGTGGTCATCCATTAGTGTTAACTTCAGCAAATTTAAGTGGACAACCGTCGGCGATTCAAATCGAGGTATGCAATATTACAGTGTTTATACTTTTATTTGTGAGAAATTGGAAGAATCCAATCATAATAGTCACAACCAATGTGTAGGGTTTGGGACAAATTTGCATTAACTTAAGTTGCCACTCTCTTCACAAACTTCATGTCTCATCGGCACAGCTAGATGAACTTAATAGTAGAAAAGTCTAAATAAAATAGTAGTATTGTTATTTTTGCGGAATCTAACAAACAAACATTAGAACACTGCCCAAATGTTACACGACTAAGAAATCGTTTGACCTCTTCCCTTATCATGAAATTGTTCTTCATTCAGCAGTTATATCATTAAATACATCTATGATTTTTGAATGTGCTTCTAGATTTGTGTGTTTGAGCATATGTTCCTTTGAAGCATCGATGAATAGTAACTGAATACATCTTTATTAAATTAAAGTACTGATTTTATTTCTGCAACTGAAATTGGCATGTTTTTCTAAATTGTAACCGCATCTTCCATCACAACAATAACTTTCAGAAGAAAAAAAACAGAAGTTTTTTTTTGATAACTAAAAACTGTATTTAAGGGGTAACTTGAACTGAAAATTGGGTTATAATTGAAACGAGACATTTAAATTGAAAAGAATTGAAATTTATAAATTGACCTCATCTTTATTGTTGTGTCCGTAGGATTCTTAACTTACTTGGTGCTCGATAGTGGAATACCGTGAATCAGACGATCCAAGTAAAAATGCCAAGTCGATAGATAAGGGTCAAATAAATCCTGCGATTTGTATTCTTACTTGGGTTGCCCGATTCACAGTTTCCCAGTACCAATTACCAAATCAATCAAGCATTCTGCAGATGAAAGAAGTATCAATGATAGTGAGGAAAAAATATGTTGCAAAAAAGAAAAAACAAACTGAACTCATCATTCTTTTTTTTCTAAACGTGTTAGCAGGTACAGACTACGTAGTTGAGTTCGGAACGATTTTCATTAACAATTGTTAGAGAGACGATAAGTAACATGGCTGGGAATCATTTGGGGTTGTGCCGATAGATTCACTTTCTGTCTTACGTTTTGGAATTATTGTATACTATGTTGTCCCTCATATGTGATTGTCTGTGTCCGATGTTATTTTCTACTACCACTGATCCTGTTATACACTACTTCTACTGTAGAATTGGTCTTGAAAATGTTTTTCTACCTAGGCTGATCTGGTGTAATATCCTAGATTGATGTAGATACGTGACAGTTTCTACGTTGCTTGCGACGGATTGACTATTTTTAGCGGCTTCTTATAAGCTTAGACGGGAAAAAGTTTAAATTCACAATGAGCAGCAATAGGTCTGTAAACAAGAGTTTGACTTGATACATCAAGTCAGGATTAATAAAAAAGCAAGTCACGATATTATTGTCATTTATACCGGTCCAGATTAATGCATATTTATTCAGATGAGTAAAATTTACCCTTGCTGAGTGATGGAGAAGACAGTGTGAGATAAAAAATAAATGCTTGGTCAAACGACACCTAGAATAAGTAAATGACAAGTGACTTCTTTTTGCATTTAAGCTAAGATTTAAAAGTGAAAAAATGCCCTGGTACGGCCGAGAGTGGGGAGAGTCCGCTCTCCCTCTCGAAATGCTCTCACATGGCCACATGCATACAACTACTACGACAGAACTTCTACTCACTGCCTTCTCGTGGCGAGGGTGTTGTCGACGAAATTGAAAGGATGAAAAGTGAATGTCCGGTGCTTTAACCGGCTTGGTGGACATGGAGAGTCCACCTAGGGGAGTTGGAAAACCCTGATTCCAAGCCAATGGTGCACATGGGCTGGCTGCAGTATCCTGAAGGAACAAATGGTGTATGAACCAATCGTTGGTCACTGGCTACCATGGGACTGCATCTCCTTACGATGCTACACTTTCTTGTGGGTCAGACCTTTCGGTCGAAGGCTCTGAGTGTGACCTCCTAAGACAACCACCTGCTTCGGCCTGGGCTCCCGGGCAATATCACAGCCCTCATACAAATGAAATGACATTTGTATGGCACATATGTATTTGGTGCCTCCTTGTATCAATATCTATGTGTTCAAATAAATAATAAAAATAAACGACTTTGAGTTGCTAAGTCTCAGGTTTGAACCCTTATGTCGGTTAGGTTAATCAGGTAGTATCACTAGCTTTCATACTTAGACTGTCATTCAAAATCAAGTATGCAAGTTTGTAATTAGTGTGTCACTTGTAGAGATAAAAGCCATCACCCATTTCTAACATGATTCATGTGGATTTAAGAAAAGTGTGACAAATCACTCTTGCCTTTGTGAAGATAATTTGTCATGAAATAATTTCACTCATCACACTATATCTCTTCTTTTTCAGCCGATTTACTAACTTTTGTTCATTATCATATTGTTTAATTAGATAGTTACTTGTTTCTTTTATTGGTTGCGATTTATTTTCCATTTACAGTTGATGGTTAAGGTTAGGAATTAGATTAGGGGTTTTCATCACGAACTGACATCAGCTATAATGCCAAAACTGTATTCAATCAAATGGATGGATGAATTTCGCGCCGAAATCCAAGACCTATCATCTTATACCTGATTGGTTCGTTCATATATTATAGTCTTGACGTAACATCTTGTCTACCTCTCTTAGAACAATTAATTCTACCTTCATTCATTTTATTGTGTTATGATACGTTTTCTTCTTTTATATTAAGGAATTTTCCGAAATTTGGTCATCCATTGACTTGATCATCAATGGTGGTCCCATTCAATCTGATATGTCCTCAAAAAGCTCCGATTGTAGCCGGGCCGGTTCAACCATTATTGACTTGTGCAACTGTGACAAGTCTGTTTATTCTGTAGTACGAAATGGCAGGTAAAAAAATATACATATGTTTTTACATACTACTTATGTTTGCAACATCAGTAGTAGTATTATTATTAGTAATAATTTGAGCTGTTTGGTTCTCATTCTGGAATCTTTCATTATCATTTTGAATAACATTATCGGTGTCCCATATTAGTGTGTCAGATTTCAATACGATTGAAATGTTGATCATCTAGAGGAAATATGGATCCTACGTTAAATCGTTTATGCTTTGTCAACAAATCTCGTTAATAACAGTACAGATGTGAAAAGTCGAATATATGCTGAAAGTTACACTTTCCTATGAAAAAGGTTTTGAATTATTTGAATGGTAGGAATGACACAGTAGTCATATGCTTTCCAATATCTAGCAATGTTAGTGTAAAAAGTTGCAAGAGAAGGAAATATGAAGTAACTATATGACAATGAAGAAACCGCTCAAGAACAAAGAACGCGAGACAATTACTGATATTCAAAAACAGAGAAACAGATAGGTAAAACATTTCGAGGAAATTGTGAACAGAATAGCTCCACAGAACATTGAAGCAGCCCCTACAGACCTTCCTTTATATGTCACCACCACCATCAGGATGGCCATCAGACAAATTGAGATTGGAAAAGCAGCAGCACCTGACAACATACCAGATGAAGCACTGAAGTCAAACATTGAAGTAACTGCAAACATGCTCCACGTTCTATTCAGAAAGATTTAGAAGAAAGAATGAATACCGACGTATGGGGAAGCTAGATATCGAAGAAAAGAGATTTGAGCAAGTGTGAGAAGTACAAAGGCGTCACACTATTATCAGTAGCAGGAAACGTTTTCAACAGAGTTCTGCTAAACCGGATGAAAGATAGAGTATACGCTCAACTTCAAGATCAACAGGTTGGATTCTGTAAGGATCGGTCGTGTACAGACCGAATTGCGACACTACATATGATCGTTGAACAGTCAGTTGAATGGAACTCGTCACTGCACATCAACTTCATTGACTATGAGAAAGCATTCGACAGTGTGGATAGGAGAACCTTAAGTAACCCTCTTTAACACTATGGTGTGCCTGAGAAAATCGTCAACATCATCCGGATTTCATACGACTGCAATTTCGTGAGTGGAGGACAGCTGAAAGATGCATTCCAAGTGAGGACCACTGTCAGACACGGCTGTCTACTTTCCTCCTTCCTCTTTCTTCTGGTGGTTGTCTGGATTATGAAGGCCTCCAAACCTTAGGGAAAGCACGGAATGCAATAAACAGGTTGGAATCAATTAGAAGATTTGTACTTGGTAGATGACATGGCACTTCTATCCCATACACACCAACAAATGCAGATAAAGACAGTCAGTGTAGCAGCAGTCTCTGCATTAGTAGGCCTCAGTATACACAACGAAAAAACCTAGATCCACGAATGTAACATGGAGAACACCAACCCAATCACACTTAGTGGAGGAGCTCTGGAAGAGGTTGAAACTTTCAGCTACCTGGTCAGCAGTATCATCGATGAATAAGGAGGATCTGATGCAGGTGCAAATGCAAGGATTGACAAAGTAAGGACCGCATTCCTACAATTGAAGAACATATGGGACTGAAAACAACTGTCAACTAATATCAAATTCACAATCTTCAATATGAACATTAAGACAGTTAGCTCTGCTGTATGAAGCTAAAACTTGGAGAATTACTAGAACCATTATCAAAAACGTACAAGTATTTATAAGCAGTTGTCTACGCAAGATACTCAATATCCGTTGACCGGATACCATCGGCATCAGCCTATTGTGGGAGAGAACAAATCAGCTCCCAATTGAAAAGGAAATTCGGAAAAGAGATTGGAAGTGGATAGGACATACATTACGGAAATCACCAAACTGCATCACGATGCGAGCGCTAACTTGGGATCCTGAAGGGAAGAGTAAAAGAGGAAGACCGAGGAACAAATTGCGTAGAGAATTGGAAGCAGACAGCAAAATAATTTATAGTATGTGGTTAAAAGTGGAAAGGACTAGCAAGTACCGAGTAGGTTGTAAAATTCCAGAGAGTAGTGTATGCTCCTCGACTAGATGTAACAGGCATAAGTGCGATATCATGCGTCTTATTACTATGATAACATAATTTCGTAGTATTTTTTTTCACCTTGACGATTGTTTCTTTTCCTTTCTAGTGCATTCAATTCAACGGTAGCCATATTAGAAGGTCGTTACAATCTTTCTCTCGCAGACAATTTTTCCAACATAAACAATTGAAAACTAATTCCATTTTTCAAATGGTTTGAATTTTCCCGCCTATTCTTCTTCTTCTTCTTCAATAATCTAATTCTCCTGCGCTTTCACACTCCTCCATTTGTCTTCGAATCAATGATTCGTATTATTATTATTATTACGTGACCCCGTATTTCACTTTTCTTTGCACATTCAGGGATTTCTTCTTCGTTTAACTTTGATGATGATGATTTTTACTATTATTGTTATCCTTTTTTTGTAATTTGTTTTCATCGACAAAATATATATATATCCGTCGGTTGTTAAGATAAACAGTGATGTTAAAATTCACTTATCAAATATGATCGTATTCAGTTACAGTGTTCTATTGTTATCTCTTTGTAATAAGTTGCCATACCGCATTAGCACAACAAGATCAACACCGGATTCATAGGAGTAGTTACTTCAATGGTAGTAATCTATAAAAGAAAGATTGCATATAAGAATATAGTACGGGTAGAAAGAATTAGTTCGTATAAAAAAGATATGAAGCGATTTTAATCTCATAGTGTTATGACTTGTGACCGCCGATTAGAGACCAGTGACTTATCAATCGGATCAATGACGCGTAAACCCGTATGAGCAGCCTAGAGTTCTGATTGGTCCTGTTTCCCGCATAGCCTAGCCAGTTAAGTCCAGAACACCAATCTTAGCCTCTGCCATATGAACCATTTATTTCAAAAATACTCGGTTTATATATCAACCAAACAGACCATAACGTACCATAAAGTAGAAAATAATATTTGGCCGACAGGAAAATGACGCGTGAAATAAAAATAGACCAATAGGAAAATGATGCCATTTCAAGTCCAAGGATAACATTAGACTTAACAGGATAATTTTTGGGATATTTTTCTGAATATCCCAACACAGTTTAAAAGAAGACTAGGAGTGTATACACCTACACCGTTGTGATCGATTCTGAGCCACGTCACCAAGAGTCTTCAACCATTGGTTACGATAGTCACGCGGACCCCGAACCAAGTAGTGTGGTTCAGACTAGAAGTTAGTGACTTCGGTGACTGATGCCATGTTCTAGTTTGGCCGCCTAATGTCATTTACCTGTTTTGTATTTTAATTGCAATGAGAGTACTCATGACTTTTTTTGTAGAAAAATTTAGAAACACTTTGTTCAGTGTAACTGTTTTCTTTTCTTTGAAACTCAGGTGTAAGAGATGTCTAGGGATTGAAAGTTTGTTAAAAAGTCATTGTTAAGTATTCTAGTAGTATACCATATCACATCGTAGTATGCATTTCAGTAGTAGACAAGTAGAAGTTTAATATACTAGTCTTTAAGCTCCAGTCTATTTTTTTCCTCAAAATAAAAGGTCAAATGATATTACTGTTGGGGATAGTGAACTGGTTAAATGTACAGCCTAGTGGATGATTGTCAAGTGTATTGTTACATTGAATTCCATAACTGCAGTATGTAATTAAACTGTACGTCGAGCTGATTGTCTTGATGGATATGTGACAATGCTTCTTGAGTTCCAGGTTTTCCATAATGTTCTAGACTCAATAGACTTATGATCACAACTATTAAAATGACTATAATATCCACAAAAACCCCTTCTGATACCAAATATAATAATGTAAGACAGGTAGATAGTTAAATTGATAGTAGAAACTGTTGGTTGGTACTGAACTATTTCCCTCCCCTCAAATAGTTTATTTAATTATAAAGTATCAAACCCATTGAAATAATGTTCAAAATGATTAAAGAAGATTTATTACATAAGTAAATCATAATCATCTATCCATTAGTGAAATAAAGTGGATTATTCGAATGTCCTTTTAAAGAATGATTTACTTACTCCTGTTACTCCTCGTAGACGAGCATAGGCTACCCACCAGCGCTCTCTATCCAACCTTGTCCTGGGCAATCCTTTCCAGCTTGTTCCAGTTGTTATTCATCTTTTTTCATATCTGCTTCCAATTTCCAACGTAATGTGTTCTTTGACCTACCTCTTTTCCGCTTCCCTTCAGGATTCCAAGTTAGGGTTTACCTCATGATGCCATTTGATGATTTCCGAAATCTATGTCCAATCCATTTCCATCGTCTTTTCCTAATATTCTCTTTGAATGGAAGCTGGTTTGTAGCTCTGTAGCACTTCTAGAGTTACTGCCGGTCCCAACCCAGGGTAATGGAAGAGTGTTGGGCAAGGGGTCGGCAAATCCATCCCGTAGAACAGAAATCTTGCTAAAATAACGCCAACCAGACTAAACAATTAAATCATTTAAACTAGAATAATGTAGTGAATAGTCAATCTATAAAAACTTGAAATTCGGCTTGTTTATAAATTCTATGATCACTACTGTAGCTTTCTTCACATTATATATCAGATCATTATTGTATTCAAAAGGAATTAGAATTTGAGAAGCAACTCTATGATGAATTGGGAACAATGTTTGGTTAATAAGTAACAGACTGTGTCTACCCTACTAGATATTTAGTGAATCAATGGACTTCAATAGAATGTTAGAGTATATCTGCATAGTGATATCATTGTAAGTCAAGAATAGATTGATCTGAACAAACTAATTATTCAATCAATAATCAATTCCTTATTGAGACATGTAAGTCAGTCAGCTACAACGTGTAGGATCAGGCGTCAGTCCAAGTTGCCATACCTCATTCACACAACAAAATGAACACTGGATTCATAAAAGTAGTTAATTCAGTGGTGCTAATACATAAAAGAACGATTGAATATAAGGATATAGTACAGGAAGGAATAATTAGTTCGTCGGAAGAAGTATATTATTATCAATAACAATAATAATACACCAATCTCTATGAACATTATCTACGGAAGGAGAATTATTTCCATCGTTCCAACATACTTTACAATGTCGTTTCAATTAACGTCTCTAACTGTGAAGTTAGGTGACATAGGATTGAATATACTAGAGAGCATCAGTTCCGACAAGATTACAGGTACACCTAACTGACAAGTGCTAAATAGCACGAAACATCCTACCACCATCTCATATCAGCATGATGCATATGATGACCACAGCCACATAGACTAGTGGCCACATTCCAACTTCATCGATAGAATTCGATGTGAACTAAGGAGTATTTAACACATTTGATATTGATCATTACCAACCGATCAACCAATTGTAAACAAAACATTTCTGTTTGTCAATTATCGAAACCTAACCATCAACCACCAATGAAAGTAATCAACATCATATTCATCAATAAGAATTGTACCAAAGTAAATGTGGAGGTGGAGGAGGCATCTCAGTATTCCACATTGGTGTTATGATTATTATAACTTCTGCTCATTTGATATAGATAATGTGCATTATCCGTCTATCAATCCATCAACTGAATTATTTCAATGGTTCTGACTTAACCAAATACCCATCTATCCATCCATCACAGTTTATCTCAATCGATTGTAGATGAATGTTTTGTCAATTGTGTTTCCTTGTTGATTTATTTCTTCAAATGAATGTACACAGTTCTCTTTACTGTTTTTAACTAACAGGAAATGTTTAGTTAACTAAGAGTTAGTCTATTTGAATCCACATCGACACACGCACATACAAACACATTTGTAGTAGATAGATATAACTGGAAAACAATGAATAGATTTCGTGTAAACCACCTGTCAGTCTATTCTACATAACTGTCGTCATTTACTCCATCTCCTTGTTGATAGTTCGTCTACTCTTATAATTCGACCATTCAATTAGTTGTTATTATCGATGTGGTGGTGGTTGTGGTTGTTATTCGGTATAGTATCCCTTTTTTTTATTTTACAGACTGGAAACAGGAAAGTGGAATTCAAATTAGTGAAACAGACTCAATTACTCTCCTACTCACTTTCCCTCACTCACTCGCTCTCTCTCTCTCTCCGTGTGGGTGTGTTTGTTTTCACCTTCCGTGACAATGTATTCTATCCTAGTCGATCACATAGTGTATACACCAAATAACAAGTGTTCTGTTATGTCTCAATTGAATGTTGTTATCATAACATGAGACTGTATATTAGTCTATTCGTGTATGGTATCCGTCGTATCTGTTGTTTATTTCATTCATTCACTCATTCAGTGTTTTAATTGTTGCATTGAAACAAATCGTTTTGAGAATTCAATGAGGTAACAATCTCAATGAGTGAGTGAGTGAGTGAGTGAACAATATCTGGATAATGAGGAATAATCTAATTGGATAATGAAGTAAAAGGGAGAGAAGACATGAATAAGATAAGAATTTCTATCAAACAAACAAAAAACAACCAAATTAATTTCCGGAGTTCATTTCTACTTAGAATAACTTGTAAATGTGTTTGTTTACATTCAGTGTGTGTGTGTGAGGGGGTGTGCCTGTTTGTGTGCGTGTGTTGATCATAGAATGGATACTAAATTAGAAGAAGTAATTTGTCAATAACGGAATTACATTCCACTTGTATTGAAACTTTTCATCAAAGATGAAACAGATTTCGATTTTGTACTCTCCATCTGATCAGCTGATCATTCTGACTATGAATCAGATTTGAAATCTTCGATCAAAGTAATTCAGATCGGTTCAAGTTATAATAGAATAAGGATTACCTTCTTCACTATTGGAGTGTTTTGATATTGATACGACTTGGCAACAATTTGATGTTAGTTAGTTGGTTGAAATTGACAGGTAGCCCTGTATCATATAGATTTTATTCTCGGTGTCAACTTAATGTTTCTGCAATCATGAGATCAGAGAAGTGATTGGTGAACTGTTCAATCAGTGACTGATTCTCTCTATAATCGATGCATTCTAAACAACACATTGACTATGAGCGTGTTCGTGAGACGACCTTAAGAGATCATCATTCTCAATATTCATTCTACAGATTTGAAGAACACATCCCTCAGCAGTCCTAAATATCAAGAGAAAAGTCTTTGGTACATACATAGAGAGACAGAATGGTCACCATTACACATCCATATTCTCATTCTAATTACACTACACTACCTTAATGAAAAACAGACATGTGCACTAAAACATAAAGTGAATACCACCCACTAATCACAACCAAAATGGTCATCTGTCATTTTAGCCTAAACTCATTCCTGCTGTGTTCCATTCCTTAAAACAAACAAACAAACGAATAATCAACCAATTAATTCATTAATGAATAACTGAGCTTTTCATGTTTGTTATTGCCTAATATGATGATTATCCACTGATCTGTTACATTCATCATTCAATAAGAGATGAATTACAATTACCCTCTAATTATTATAACTTAATAACCTGGAACACAATGGAAAATACTCAACTCATTTGTCTATGTGTTCAGTGACAAAGAAACCACAAATTGTGT